TACCTCCTGAAATTGCTGAATGTCGACCAATTCTTTTTATTATAATGACTCTGTGTACTCCTTCCATCTTCTTTTGATGCTTCCTGGTTGTTTAGTATTTTCCCCATAGAATCATTCACTATTGCAACTCAAGGCTTGAATTTTTCTTCAGTTCTTTCAGCTTGAGAAATTCCAACTGTGTTCTTCCCTTTTGGTTTTCTATCCCCAGGTCTTTGCACATGTCATTATAATACTTTACTTTGTCCTCTCAAGCTGCCCTTGGAAATCTATTAGAACTACAAAAAGAACTTTCAATACCATGTGTTGGCGAGAATATGGAGCAACTAGAACTCTCAGACATTGCTAGTGGGAATGAAAAATAATTCGGCCACTTTTGAAAACATTGTGGTGATTTCTTAAAAAGTTAAACACACACTTAACATATGACCCAGCAATCCAACTCCAAGGTATGAATCCAAGAGAAATGAAAATGAATATTATACAAAAACTGTATATTAACTCTAAACATAATAGCCAAAAACTAAAACAACTCAAACGTCCATCAGTGGGTAAATGGATTAACACACTCCGATACATTCATACAGTAGGCTACTCAGCAATAAAAAAACTCTATGGATATATGCAACAACATTGATGAAGCCAAATACAGTGTGATAAGTGAAAGAAGCCAGACTCAAAAAGGTACACAGGATATGATTCCATTTACATGACATTCTGGAAAAGGCAAAACAGTTGGCATGGAGAACAGATCAGTGGTTACCCAGGGGTTGGGGTAGTGGTGGGGTTGACTATCAATGGGGAGCACAAGGGAATTATTTAGGATGATGGTACTTTTGTGTATCTTGATTCTGGTCTTGGTTACATGAACGTATGTGTTTGTCAAAAGTCAAAGAACTGAACACCAAAAAGACTGATTTTATTGTATATAAAATAAATTTTAAAGTAATAATAAAAGTTAAAAATTTTATGCATCCATTAAGACAGTTTTTTTTTTTTTGCTCTTCTTAAAACTTTGGTGGATGACATTATTAATTTTCTAATATTGAAAAAGTGTTTTAGGGTAAACTCAAAATGGGTATGAGCCATTTATTATCATTCATATAGATAAATGGTTTCCTTTGGTTAAAATGTTAAGATTTCTACATCCATCATCACGATTGAGGGTGTATTCTAATTTTCTATTTTTAGAGTATCTTTACTTTGGTTGTGGGGTTTACGCTAGAGCAATGAAAGTGGAACTAGTTCCTTTTTTCCCAATCTTTATAATGTGTTGTAAAAAACTAAAATTATTTATTCATTAAATGTTGGTACAACTTGCCTGTGAAGCCATCTGGGCCTGTTGCTGACTCTGGAACGTATTCACCTACTGATTTAATGTCTTCAATGATTAAAAGGTCATTCAAATTTCCTATTTTGTCTTGAGCCAGTTTTGGCAATTTATATTTTTCTATTAATTTGTCCATTTCATTTGCATTGCCAAATTTGTTAGAATATTTTAAAATATTTTTGACACCTGTTGTATCTGTATTGTGTTCCTTTTTTCTCACTCCTTATATAATTTGTGTATGCCTTCCTTCTATTTTCTTTAACAGACTTGCCAGAATTTTGTTGTTGAACCTCTCTATAGAATTTTTGTTTCTTAATCTTTTCTTTATTTTTATTATTTCCTCCCTCCTTTTGGGCGTTATTCTATTTTTTCTCTAAATTTTAAGCTAGCTACTTAGCTCATTAATTTTCATTCTTTCTTCCCTTGTAATATTTCCCTATGAGTTTAGTTTTAGTTGCACCCCATTGATTTTGCTACATACTATTTTCATTATCTTTGAGTTTTAAGTGCTGTGTAATTTTCATTATGATTTTCTCCAATGCTCTTGGGGTTTTAAAAATACTGTTTGTTTTGTTTCATTTTTCCAAATATTTGAACGACTTTGGGGAGAGAATGTGTCATTTGATTCCTTACTTCATTGCTTTGTGAAATATGTAGTCCATATCATCTTGGCACTTTGAAATTTGTTGTTCTTTGATTTATGGCTTAGATGTAGTACATTTTCATTAATATTCAAAAATTACTTTAAAAAGGTTTATGCTTTATTTCTTGTGTTTTTGTTGTTAGCTGCAGTCAAATCAGTCCCCCAACTCATGGGGACCGTGGAATGAAATGCTCCTTTGCCATCCCCGTGATCAGCTGGGGATCAGACCTTTGTGGGCTGATTTTAGGAAACAGATCACAAAGCCCTTCTTCATAATCCATCTTAGTCTGGAAGTTCTCCTGAAACTTGTTCAGCATCTTAACACAAGCAAGCCTAGCCTTCACTGACAGATGGGTGGTAGCTGCTCATGAAGTGCATCGGCAGGGAATCAAACCCAGGTCTCCCACATGGAAAGTGAGAACTCTACCACATAACCACCAATGCCCCTATATTTCTTGGATAAACTGTTCTATATATATGTCTATTCGATCAAGGGTTTTAATTGTATTTTCCACAAAATTTTGGCAACTTGATCTCTCAGTTAAGAAAAATGTGTATTCAAATCACCAACCGTACTGGTAATTTATCAGTGTTTCCTTGTAGTAGTATCAATTTTTCCTTTTATGTTTTAAAGTTATGTTAACAGATATATGTATATATATTTATACTTGTTAATCTTTCTATTGAATTGAAAGCTTTAAAAAGCAGTGACCCTGTTTCCCTCTCCTAACAATTTTAGCCTTGAAGTCTATTTGGTCTGGTAATAACATAGCTATTTCAGCTTTGTTTTTAATTAGTGTTTGTGTGGTACCACTTATTTCCATCCTTTTCTCGTTAACATCTTTGTATCCCCATATTGTCTGTCCCATTAAGCATAAAAATGGATTTATTTTTAAATAAATAGCTGGAGTATATATATACTTTTATTGACTGGGAATGCTGATGTATTTGTATTCATTTCTATCATCTTGTTGTCTTTTATTTTTCCCATTTTTTCTAGATTTATATTCTCCCACGTTGTTGCCCTCTTTCAATAGATGCCCCCCATTTTGGCTTTCCCCTCCCCAAATAGTTTGAAAGTTTTATACGTAGTTCTGGTTTTTAAGTGGATGCCCTAGACCAGTGCTGTCCAATAGAACTTCATGTACTGGACTAGATGAATAGAAACAGGGAATCTGGGGTGGTGATGGGGAGAGTGTTGACATATCGCAGAGTTGGCAACCAATGCCCCAAAAAATATGTGTATTAATTGTTTAATGAGAAGCTAATTTGCTCTGTAAACTTCACCTAACTCAAAATTAAAAAAAAGAAAGAAAGAAGTGTAGCCATTAGCCACATGTGGCTATTGAGTACTTGAAATGCGGTTAGTGAAACTGAGTATTTCCATTATTCACTTTATTTCATTTTTGTTAAATTTAAATAGCCACATGTGGCTAGTGCCTACTATATTGTACAGCACAGCCCTAGATATTTTAACATGAATATTTAACTTAGCAAGGTCTAAATTGAATCCCTTCTCCTAAATAACACAAGGACAAAAACTCTAAATACTTCTCCTTTGCTTATAGAATAAAATCCAAAGACCTAAGCATGGAGTTCAAGGAAGTAGAAGACACTAGCTGTTTTCCAAAAGGCTCTTTTACTGCTCTCCCATTTTTTTAGCAGTCATTAATGTGTATAGAAATGAATTCGTGTCAGCTACAGGAATGGGTATTGATTGCTGTAAGGACACTCAGAGCAGGGGGTTTTGTGCAGGAATGGTTGTGTTACTTAGCCTGGGAAAATTAGATGCAAGAAGTTTTCACAGGATATGAGGATAGACTCACTTTCTCATTCTGGATAGAATAACATGAAAAGCAGAGCATAGAGATGAAAAACATAAATCCTTGAAGATTTTTGTATACTGTTTGAAGAATTGTGCACTGCTGAATTAAAGTTCAGCTGTACTTTGGACATTCCAGTTGTGTAAACCAACGGATCCACTTTATGAGTTCATAGTTAACAAATTTTGTTTCACAGTAAAAAATGTTTCCTAACAATATGAAAAGTTATTACTGACATAAAGCCTGTGACAGCTATGCTGTTGTTTGTGTGTGCCGTCGAGTCAATTCCGACTCATAGTGACCCTCCAGGACAAAGTAGAACCGCCCCATAGAGTTTCCTAGGCTGTAATCTTTAGGGGAGCAGATTACCAGGTCTTTTCTCCTGTGGAACAATAGTGGGTTCTAACTTCCAAGCTTTTGGTTAACAACTGAACTGCTTAATCACTGTGCCACCAGCACTATACTATTCCCTAAATACGCTTTCATGTGTACATGACTTTGCTCAGGCTATTCCCTCATCCCTGATGCACTTATCTGGTGAAATCATCTTCATTTTTTAAGATCTTTCTCATATGCCACTGCTCTAATTTCTTAAGTCTGAATTAAGCTTTCTACTCTCTGCACTCTACAAGCCCTTGCTTGTATCTCAATTTAGTACTATCCTTTTGCAATTTGTGAGTAAAATGGTGTGCTGGTCAAACACCTGGCTTCTGAAGTCTGACAGCCTGGGTTCAAATCCTTGCTCTGAAGTCTATTACTTTTTTTACTTTGAGCAAGTTGGGTTTCAGTTTCTTCATCTGTAAAATGGAGATGATAATCTTTATTGCACAGGGATTTTTTAAGTATTAAATGAGTAATCAACATGACATGACAATCTTAATTCCATGTACGTAGTAATTTCTCAGTAAATATTAACTATATTATTATTATTTTTGCCTGTCTATTCTTCCAATGATATAAAGTGTCTATACTGTTCGTTGGTCACCATGTTATCCTGACACTTTTTGCATTGTTATTTTAACTCATACACTATTATTTTGTTTTCCACAAGCACTTATATTTATGATCTTCCCAAAGATGTCCTAAACAACGCAAGAAGAGTGATTGTAACTACCATTCTTTGTGAACTTATCTCCTTCCAAGGACCTGATATAGTGCTATGTTAGAGAGCTGCTCTAGTGAAGAGTGGTAAAAAAAACAGACATACCACTGAAAATTCAGGTCTGGAACCCTGGTCATTTTCTGTATCACTGAATGACTCTTCAGTCTTTATGAAATTCATGATGAGTTAAAAGTGAATATATCTGAGTTCTGCTACTGTCCAAAATGTAGAAACAAGGATTGGATTTACTCTCCCACCTGAAATGACAAAACAAAAAAGGGCAAAATGTTAAGAAATAGCAACTTTCAAACAGTGGACATCATGCAGCACAGGGAACTCAAATGACGCAAGCCCTGTGATTACCGCAAGCTACTGCCTGGACAGAGGTTCCAGGCTGTATCTCAGGGAGGAGAAACACAGGCAATCTGGCAGTCTCCCTTGAGTTGAGAAGACAAGCTGGGCGTCTGGCAAGGCCAACATGGCTGACGTGTGTACGGCAGAGAACTAGAGAGAGGACAGCTAGAACTACACCGACAGATAAAGTGCCAGGTATCTGCAGCGGTGGGTACTTCTTAAAATTTCCGGTAAATATTATCAGTAGGTCTGCGGTACAGTTAGGGAATTTGCACTTTTAACTTCCCCAGTTCCCTCCCCCCCCCCACCCAAATGTGCATCATACGTAGGCTGAACAGCCGCCTAGACTATACGGAAGGGTCTTTTCAGCAGTAAAACTCTATAACTCCAATTGCTCTCTGAAGCGGGAGAGCAGGAGACTTTACAACGAGCAGCCAGCCGCCGAGGCTGAAGCCTTTCTGCCTGTTGCCCTTGACAGCCTTCCCCCAACAACTTACGTCTGTCCTAGGACCAGAAGAATCAGTCACAGAAGAGGAGAGTCTACCCCAATCTGCGAAAGCAAACTCGATGCGCTCCCGCCACTGAGTGGAGTGGCGGGAAAGGATGGGCGGGGACCCTATTCCTCTTCAAAGACAGGAACGCGGGGAACGCGCGTCCAACAATTCTATTGGTCCTCATGACCCGGCTCCCGCCTATCCTCTCCCGACCAGTGTCCACGGCCAACTTCCGCGTCCCGGGGTAAACTGTGATTGGCCACCTCCCTCTGCCCTCCCGGCGAGGGAGGAGCGACCGAGCACTTGGAGGAAGTGAGAGATGGCTGGGCGACTGTTCGCTTCTCACGGGCACTGGTTCCACTGCGGTCGCGCGGAGCAGGAGCAGCGCGCGCGGGCTCGGGAGCCGCACCGCGAACAGCCTGGCCGCCGGCGCTTCGTGCGCAGCGCTCGCTGATCTTCAGCAGCTGTGAGGTGGTCAGCGGCGCGGCCGGGAGGAGCACCCGCCAGGTTAGGAGGCCGCTGCGGAGCTCAGCCCCCATGCTGCGGACGTCCTCGGCGGCTCTTCACTGTCCTCCAGCGGAGGAAATAGCGCATAGCCGGCACTGCGGCCACAGCCTGCGCTTGTGGTGGGGCCTAGCGGGACTTGGCTACCCCAACGGATGGGTCAACCTTGCCTGGGAGCTGATGCACGTGCGTTCTGCCTACCGGGAGGAGGAAGAGGCCGGCGCCTGCACACCCCAGAAATCAACTAGTTCTCAGTACGCGCAACAGTATGTGCAGAACGCTATAGTCCTCAATAGGGACTCTTCGGTTGTTGATGTTGTTAAGTGCCCTCGAGTTGGTTGCAACTAATAGCGACCCTATGTCCAACAGAACAAAACACTGCCCAGGTCCTGCGCCATCCTCACAATCAATCATTGTTATGCTTGAGCCCATTGTTGTAGCCACTGTGTCAATCTATCTCACTGAGGGGCCTCCTGTTTTTCGCTGACCCTCTCTATTTTACCAAGCATGATGTCCTTCTCCAGGGATCGGTCCCTCCTAAACATGTCCTCTTATCCTACTTTATTTTTTATATAGTACATCTTAACAATTACTAAATATGTGTTTGTTTAGTTTATCTCTTTGCACCAGAATGTGAACTCCAAGAGGGCAGGGAGGGGGTCCTCACACTGATGACTGGGAGGGGTAAGGAACAAAGTAAAAAGAGTTGGGGATGGAGGGGACAATCCTTCTCCAGTGCTTCCTGAAATGCCTGGGGGCTGGGGTGGGATGGAGGGAAGACTGGGAGATGATTTATTCATTAAAAGAATGTAGGAACCCAGAGAGAAGTCCCACAGGTTTTTGCTGTTATTGTTAGGTTCCTCCTCGAGTGGGTTCCAACTCATATCAACCTTATGTACAACAGAAAGAAACACTGCCCGGTCTAGCGCCATCTTCACAATCGTTACGCTTGAGCTCATCGTTGCAGCCACTGTGTCAATCCATGAAGGTCTTCCTATTTTTCGCTGACCCTCTGCTTTACCAAGCACGATGTCCTTCTCCAGGGACTGGTCCCTCCTGATTACATGTTCAAAGTGCACGAGATGAATTCTTGACATCCTCACTTCCAAGGAGCACTCTGGCTGTATTTCTTCCAAGACAGACTTGTTCCTTCTTCTGGCAGTCTATGGTATATTCAGTATTCTTCGCCAGCACCATAATTCAAAGGCATCAATTTTTCTTCTGTCTTCCTTATAGTCCAGCTTTCCCATGCATATGAGGTGATTGAAAATATCATGTCTTCGGTCAGGTGCACCTTAGTCCTCAAAGTGACATCTTTGCTTTTCAATACTTTGAAGAGGTCTTTTGCAGCAGATTTGCCCGATGTCACATGTAGTTTGATTTCCTGACAACTGCTCCCATGGCCGTTGATTGTAGATCCAAGGAAAATTAAATCCTTGACAACGTCAATCTTTTCTCCATTTATCACTGATGTTGCTTATTGGTCCAGTTGTCCCACAGGTAGGAAAGGCAAAGGTGAGGTACACAAAGACAGATGGCTAGCAAGACTCAGTTAAACTTCAGAGAGACTTCATGGTTTGTCTCTCTCAGCATCTTCTCAGGAAGGCATTTGTGGGGTTGTGGGAGGTGTTCTGGGCTAGTAAGGGAGCATGTTAGGTATGTAAGTTAATAAGAGTTCACAGTCTCCACTCCTGAATTTACCTCAAGAAAGGGAATAACAGGCTGTTAAATAATCCCCTCCCATCCTATTCCTACACACACTAGCCAAGGACACCTGGGACTTGACCTTGGATTGAACTTCTTACCCAAACTGTCCCTGAACTAAAGATGAAAGAGGACTGTTGCTAGGTTGTCCGTTTCTGTGTAATGTAAAGAGACCGTCCTGAGCAAACCTACGCCTGGGTGTCAGGATTGTTCACTATATGATCTATAATGACCGGGCCCCAGCTGCCCTGAGGATAAGGACCAGTCACACAGCCCTGAAGAGCTGTTACTAGCAGGGTATAAAGTTGAGTGTGCAGACATGTAGCAGCTTCCTTATATTGAGGTGCTCACTCTCGCCAGCCTCTGGCAGCCAAGCCCGCCCTCACTGTGGCTAGACCTGGATGCTGAGCCTGAACATTTGCAGGACTTCTAATGATAACACATATGCTCTGCCAGCTCTTTTCCAGTCCTACATCATTTTATAAGCGAAAAGTTGGGTGAAAACTCTTGCATCCTGTGATTTGATCTTTAATTCAGACTTGAAACCCCCACTGCGGATCATCAGCTTCTTGCAAGCTGCATGACCTTGGACAAGTTACAGTCTTTTTTGAGCCTCAATTTTCTCATGTGTAAAATGGAGGAAATAAAACTTGATCAGCCTAAAGGTGGGGTTGCAGGGCATCAATCCCCTGTGAGTGTCCAGTAAAGATACTTGTGGGTTTGGGACACTTCAGGAATTATATGTGGAAAACACTGGAGAAAGAATTCTAACCAAACAACAAATAAATAGGAGCAGAGACATCTGGTAGGATCAGATAAAAGGAGAGAAAATAGTGGTAAGCAAAAATATCTGAGAAATTTTTCTGTGTATGGTTAAATTTAAGGAGGCCTGTGGCACATTGGTTAAAGCGCTTGGCTGCTAACTGAAAGGTCGGTGATTAGAACCCACCAGGACTTCCGCGGGAGAAAGATGTGGTAGTCTGTTCCCATAAGGATTTATAGCCTTGGAAATCCATGGGGCAGTTCTTCTCTGCCCTATAGGGTCGATATGAGTTGAAATCAACTTGATGGCCATGGGTTTTGGTTTTTATAGTTAAATCTAAATGGACTATGATAGACTCTCTGGGAATGTGTAGTAAAAGTTTTAAAGAAGGATTCTTGAAATAGAAGCAACACGCTGCCAGAGGAATGATACCTGACACCTAGAACTAAATCACCCAAGGTTTGGTCTCAGGTGGACGAGGGGTAGAGGAGTGGAAGCCTTTTGTTCATTCATTTGGGTGTGAGGAGAGTATAGAATAGGAAAGTGACTCTGTTGAACAGATCTCATCTTATTGGGGTGCAGGGCAAAGCAGAGGAAGAATAGCTGGTGCTTTGTTATCTTTTATATAATACTAGAGAAGTTTGAATTCAGTTATAAGCACCAAGTAAAATACTATGGATTGCATAAAAAGTTAGTAAGGGGCATGATGGATAAGTGAGTGTATAAGGTTCTATAGTGGAGGCACAATAAAAACAAAACCAAACCAGTTGTAATAAAATCGATTCTAACTCATGGCAACCCCGTAAGTGCAGAGTAGAAGTGGCTACATAGGGTTTTCAAGGCTGTGACCTTTCAGAAGCAGATCACCAGGTCTTTCTTCTGAAGTACCTCTGGGAGGGTTTGAATCACAAACTTTTCAGTCTGTAGGAGAGGACTTAACCATTTGCATCACCCAGGGACTCCTATTTCTGTTGTTAGTTAGTGAAGGCAATATTTCCCTTAAAAAAAAAAATCTTTTGAATAGGTGATACATACATGTTGTTGTTAGGTGCCCTTGAGTCAATTCCAACTCATAGCAACCCTATGTACAACAGAAAGAAACACTGCCCTGTCCTGCGCAACCCTCATAATAGTTGTTCTTTTGAGTCCATTGTTGCAGCCACTGAGGTGACCCTCTACTTTACCAAGCATGATGTCCTTTTCCAGGGACTGGTCCCTCCTGATAACATGTTCAAAGTATTTGAGACCAAGTCTTGCCATCCTTGCTTCTAAGGATCAGTCTGGCTGTACTTCTTCCTAGACAGATTTGTTCATTCTTCTGACATTCCATGATATATTCAATACTCTTCACCAACACCATAATTCAAAGGCATAAATTCTTCTTTGGTCTTCCTTATTCATTGTCCAGCTTTCACATGCATATGAGGTGACTGAAAACACCATGATCTGGATCAGGCATACCTGAGTCCTTAAAGTGACATCTTTGCTTTTTAACACTTTAATGAGGTCTTTTGTAGCAATTTTGCCCAGTGCAATGTGTCTTTTGATTTCTTGACTGCTGCTTCCATGGGTGTTGATTGTGGATCCAAGTAAAATGAAATCCTTGACAACTTCAATCTTTTCTCCGTTTATCATGATGTTGCATATTGGTCCAGTTGTGAGGATTTTTGTTTTCTTTATGTTGAGGTGTAATCCCTACTGAAGTCTTTGATCTTCATCAGTAAGCACTTCAAGTCCTCTTCACTTTCAGCAAACAAGGTTGTGTTACCTGTGTAATGCAAGTTGTTAATGAATCTTCCTCCAATCCTGATGATGCCCCGTTCCTCTTCATATAGTCCAGCTTCTCAGATTATTTGCTCAGCATACAGATTGAATAAGTATGTTGAAAGGATACCACCCTGATGCAGAAACCTTTCCTGACTTTAAACCTCGCAGTATCCCCTTGTTCTGCTCAAACAACTGCCTCTTGGTCTATGTACAGTTTCCTCATAAACACAATTACATGTTCTGAAATTCCCATTCTTCAAAATGTTATCCATCATTTGTTGTGATCAATACAGTTGAATGCCTTTGCATAGTCAATAAAACGCAAGTAAACATCTTTCTGGTATTCTCTGCTTTCAGCCAGGATCCATCTGACATCAGC